ATCCTATTTCTTTTCTTCCATTTCTGCTAACTCCATAGATCATTGAAGCCATCTTGCTTCTATCTATGTTTTTAGCAAGAAATTTTTGAAAGCTATGATCATATTCCTTTATGATCTTATCAGAGTTACTAGGAACTTTTGAGACAGTTTCTTTTTGAGAATTTTGTAAATTATTTTCTAGTTTAGAAATTGTTTCTTTCAGCTCAGAGTTTTCTGATCTCAGTTTCTTAGTTTCTTCAGAGTCAGAAACTAGATCCTTTTTCAGGTTCTTGTTTATGACTTGAAGTTTCTGATATCTTTCAAGAATTTTTTACAGGCTCTCTTCTAATTGAAATCTAGAAAAGTTATAGAATACCTCTTCTGCCTCTGAGTTTGATTCTGATCCAGATGATCCAATGTCTTCTGATATGTTGGCCATTAGGGTTATATTGGCTCTTTCATCTTCTGATTCTGTTTCAGCTTCAGAAGAGTCTGAGTCATCCCATGTTACCATGAGGCTTTTATTATTTTCCTTAAAGAACTTCTTTTTATGTTTCTCTTTTTAAATATTTGGACAGTCACTTTTGTAATTCCCTTGTTCATTGCGTTCATAGCAGACAATGTATCTGTTACTTGACTTTCTGTATCCAGAAGATGGTTTAGAATGATTCCATGTTCTTCTGGAAGTTCTGAACTTCCTTTGTCTGTGCTTCCATAGCTGATTGACTCTTCTGGAGAGAAGAGACAGTTTGTATTCTTCTGATGAGGATCCACTAGAGTTTTCTTCTTTTGCCTGCAAAACTTTTGATTCATATTTTTTGTTAGATTTAAGAGCTAAAGACTTACCTTGCTTCTGGGGCTCATCTTCTTCTAACTCTATCTCATGACTTCTCAGTGAGCTGACAAGTTCTTCGAGAGAGATTTTGTTCAGATCTTTGGCCAGTTTAAGAGCTGTGACCATGGGTCTCTGTTTCTTAGGTATAATTCAGATGATCTTCTTTACATGATCAGCAGTTGAGTAGCCTTTATCCAGAACTTTTAACCCAGCAACCAGAACTTGAAATCTTGAGAAAATTGTTTCAATGGTTTCACCTTCTTCCATTTTGAAGGCTTCATACTTCTGAATGAGCACAAGAGCTTTGGTTTCTTTGACTTGCGTGTTGCCTTCATGCGTCATTCTCAAGGAGTCAAACATGTGTTTTAGCTGATTCTCTGTTTGTGAACTTCTCATACTCTGTATATCATATAGCACTTAAGAGAATAGTTTTGGCCTTGTGATGATTTCTGAAATCTCTCTTTTGATGATCTTCCATTCTTTTTTGTCAATCTTCTGACCACTTTCATCAACAGGATATATGTACCCATCAGTCACCATATCCCAGAGATCAGCGTCATGAGTCAGAAAGAAACTTTCGATTTTGTATTTCCAGTAATCAGAGTTTTCACCATCAAAGATTAGAGGTTTGCCGCTGATTCTGTCTTTCTTATCATGGTAATCATTATTGATGTTCTGACTTGGTCCCACCATAGTGTTTTTCTTGCTTGGATCTTTTTCTGACACGGTTAAGTGCTTGTACTCAGAACCAGACGCTCTTATGCCAATTGAAGAATGGAAAAACACAAGAATGGGGGTTTGAATTGGGGTTTTTAAATCTTAAAGTAAAGAACACGTTGGTTATCCTGGTTCATTTAAACTTAAACTACTCCAGTCCACCCGCCAAGGTGATTTCGCCTCTCTCAACGAGGTCTTAATCCACTAATCAAACTTTATTACACAGCTACTATGAAAACCATCAAAGTCTTCTTGATTTTAAACCACAGTCCAGTTTTCTCAAGGAATTGCACTATATAATATTTAAGAGAGTGTACAAAAAATGTTTTCTAATAAAATAGTATCACACAAGTGATGTTTTACATAAAATAAAATTCAGTACGTTTGAAGGTGATGAAAATTACTCGTTTGTTGTGCGCGCAAAATCGTAAACGATTTATCCTTCAATCTTTGTTTAAATAGGCAACGCGTGTGGGAGCTTTTGGAATATTGATAAATAGTAATTAAAGAGCTTTACAAAAATAAAGATTCTTGTCCCTTTTCAGCCGTTACTTTTGAATGGCCATAAGTGAGTTGTAATGCTTCAGAACATGTTTGCTTCAGAATATGAATGTTACTGTTACTTCTTTCCAGAACTATATGAATCAGAATAATAGAGTTCTTATTCGCAGTGTTTCGACAATCAGAAGTTGCAGCCTTAGATCTTCTTTAGAAGAGATGTATTGAATCATAGTTTGAGCAACTATCTAACTCATCTTATGTGCTTCTTCCATCAGAACTTCTCTACAAAACAAAATATTTATTTAGGAAGCATAATTTTTATTTGAGTATTTGTTATCATCAAAACTCTTACAAGAGTTGTAGAATCAAACTATATTCTAACAACGTATTAACACTTTATTCACCGATACCATACCTGCAAGTCAAAAACATAACCGCACAACAAAACTGCAAAAAGACAGAAAAAAATAAGCAGAAGAAGAAACAGATTGAATCGAAGGAAAAGATTGACAGCGAAATACCTGAAAGAACACCATATTACATCAGACTCAAAGGGTGTTACACTGCACATAGCCAGAGTATGCCTCCCTCCGCCGGATCTAAAAGTCATGCCGAATGAGCATCCTCGTCGTCTGATCTCGCCTTATTCCACGTCAAAGATACACTACCTTTTTCCATTGTGAGTTTTCATTGTATCTATTGATTTAATTTTGTAGCCATGTTGTTTTAGTGTTTGAGAAAGAGAGAAAAGAAGCAAAAGAAATAGAGAGATCAAGAGAGCGTGAAGCATGGAAAAAAGAGTGGAACAATTAAGTGAAAGAGAGAGAGTTTTTGTTCTGATTTTAATTAAGTGTTGGTTAAGTAATAATTAGAAGAGGGATATTGGGAGTTAATTACTTGAGGAGGCCAAATACATGTACCGGCGGTTCATTACTCCATGAGGTATAGGGTTTCTCCTCATACCCTTTTCAAATTGAATTCGGTGGGCCTCAAGGCATCTGGCCCAATAGTTTTTTTCTTTCTTTTTGTCATTTAAAAAACCCTCTATTGGGCTCATATCAGTTGGGCTTTGCAGCTTGTACATTTATTATTGAACCAATACTTTGAATTCTAATCCACACTCCCCTTGGCTATACAATTTTCTTTTTTTATTTTTGATTTCCATTATTTGTTTGTTTTAATAATTTTCTAGCATGATAAAATAACAAAAATATCTTTTTAATTAGGACTTTTCTTTGCTAAAAATGTCACAAAAATTAAGAATATTAGAATCAGGTTCCTAATTTTATTTTTATATTAAAATTTCTCTTCACATAAAATTTCATAAAAAATATTAGTAGTTATTTTCTGTTATTTGATTATTTGGTTGATTGCCATGTTTCCTTAGGAAATATTGAATTAATTTTAATCGAAAGTCCCGGGCTTGATTAAATTGAATCAATCTAGACATTAGGGTCTAATTGCGTGATAACTTCTTTAGGTTAGAATTCCCCTTTCAAAAAACTCAACATTGGGTCCATCTTTGCACATGACAACAATTAGGTTTTTTTAGCCTCCCCTTAGACTCTTCCTTCTTTTGAAAATTAAGATAAAAATTTATTTTCATAATAAAAAAATCCAAAAAAAACACTTAATCGTTATACAAACTCATTTCACAATTAACAAAAATACTAAATGAATAAAAAATTCTCTCAAAAGGGCATGTTATCTCCATTCTACCGCGATACAGGTTGTGCCTATTGCTAGAATGTGTGTGTTAATGTCGCCCATTAAAAAACATCAATAAACCAGCATTTTTGAGAAGAACTATGGTGTTCTGATTACTTTACTGGATACGTAGGCAAAGGGTGGCGAGACCCTAACGAACGCACTAATAAAAAACCATTTCTTTTCCCTTAGCAAGTATAGTTATAGATAAACACACCCTTAGAAGCAAATGAACAAAAAAGATCCCGTTGGGTACAACGGATGTGAGGGGTGTTAATACCTTCCCCTTCCATAACCGACTTCTTTACCCTTTCTCTTGGTCGCAAGACCATGTTATCCATCCTCTTATGGTTTTCTCGATATTTCCCCTTCCTTTGGGATAAATAAAGTTCGGTGGTGGATCTGTGTTTTTTGTAAGTAGCTTCAAGGGTGTACACATTTTTTTGTTGCTTCGATTTTATTGGACGCCCATTGGATTGCTGGCCCATATTCTGTATGAAACTCTTTATGATAAGACTGTTGAGTGAAGTCAACATTTTTATTCATTTATTTATTTATAAACACTATGCCAAACAAGGGATTAGACAGCGCTTTTTTAGGCCTTTAACAGCGCTTAAAAGCGCTGCTAATACCTCTGCTGCTAAAGGTATAGACAGCGCTTTTTTTTCAATCACTTTAGACAGCGCTTGGTAAAAGCGCTGTCTATTACCCCCCTTTAGCAGCGCTTTTCCTCTTTTTTAAAATTTTTTTTTTCAATCACTTTAGACAGCGCTTTTCATGAAAAGCGTTGTCTATTACCCCCCCTTTAGCAGCGCTTTTCCTCATTTTTTTTATTTTTTTTTCAATCACTTTAGACAGCGCTTTCATGAAAAGCGATGTCTATTACCCCCCCTTTAGCAGCGCTTTTCCTCATTTTTTTTTATTTTTTTTTCAATCACTTTAGACAGCGCTTTCATGAAAAGCGCTGTCTATTACCCCCCCTTTAGCAGCGCTTTCATGAAAAATTCTGAATAATATTAAAGCTACTTTATCAAAATCAACATGCAAGACAAGTAAAAACAAAAACAAAAGTGATTCAAAAAAGTGTTCAATATGACAATCTGGTACTAACATAAAGAAACTTTGTCTACACTTAACATTGAACTAAAACTAAACTAAGATAACAAATGAATTAAAAGAATAGAACAAACAAATAACCATGCAAAAACTAGGAAAGTCCAACTACAAGCTTATAGCTAGTAGTGATGTTGTTCATGTTTCTCTAAGCTTCCCAACCTCTCAAAAGTGTAGCGCGAGCGACACGGTTGAGTCCAAGAGTGAATGCTCCCATTCGCAAGTCGCAGTTGTGAGTTTTACACATTCCTTTAATGTTCTTGAAAGCTCTAGTCATATACCTTTTTAGCTCCAGGTTAACTTTATCTTCATCCCACATAAATCCTTGAATATTCTGCAGAAGTCACATAGGAAAATTTAAAATCTATTTCTCTTAAACATGTTTTCAAGAACCGTTTATTAGCTTTTGAATTTTCACTTATCTCGTTAATTATTTATTACCTGGACCCATTCAAAATAGCTTACGGTCACTCCACCAGCATTCGCATAAATGTCAGGTAATATAATAACTCCTTTCTTAGACAGTATCTGCAACAAACAAATCATTCAAGTTTATAACATAAGTTTATCATACTACAATAAACAATTCATATTGAGTTTATCGGTTTCATGTAAATATTGTTTCTTATATAAGGAATTGTTGCGGAGAACATCATGCAAACATCATTACCTCATCGGCGTCAGGGTCAGTTAGATGATTCGCAGCTTCTATGATAAACTTTGCTCTTACATCATCAGCATTGTCCCTTCAAGAACCATAGACAAAGTTGAAGTTACACCAACAATTTAATTTTAACAATGATTATCTATGAACTAAGGTAATTTAGACGAAACATACTTGTTGAGAACACCTCCCAAAGCACATGGGATGAGAACATCACAGTCATGGGTGAGCAAGTCCTTTGGATCCATGGCATCTGCTCCCGAGAAATCTATCAAATTGGCATTGGCTGCCTTGTGTTTCAGAAGAGCGGCAATATCAATCCCATTTGGATTACTAATAGCACCACTGATGTCACTCACTGCTACCACCTTACCGCCTCTCTCGAAAATTGACTTCGCAGCCCAAGTTCCGACATTTCCAAACCCCTACACAATGTAACATATTAATACTCAACCGTAGTGTTGTTAAACATCGGATTTAACAGCATTGTTACAACATCACTATTGTTCCATGATATGCTATTTAGCATAAAATACTGTGTAAATGTAAGTGGTATATTAAATATCATGGTATGGTGGTGGTGAATAAATACCTGGATGGCAAATGTCATATCAGAAATTGATTTCCCATATTCAGCAAATAAAGCCTCGGTTTCGAAAACCACTCCTAGTCCAGTGGCAGCCTCTCTTCCCAATGAACCTCCAAGATCCTACAGGCCAAATATTTCAAACTGATTTCTTGAATCTTGGATACACAAGTTATCATTGTTATACAAATAGCTTATGTACAAACACTAAATAACTTATACATAAACACTTAATTAAGTAGTTTATTCAAATAGGACCTAAAACTACAGTTAGTAGTGATTGTGCAATATTATTATACACTTACAATAGGCTTGCCAGTCACCACTGCTGGTGAATGACCATGAAACATGTGTTCCTAAGACAGTTTACAACTACATAGTACATTCTCTGCCACCGTGGTCAAACTTCTATCTGTTTTCATAGCTTTTATTAAACTATTTGATCTCTACCTAACATAAGAATCAAGGTTTCAGGTCATCACCTCAGGTAAGAACTTTCACTTTATCACAACTTATGAAGTATACATTCCCAATTTGCAAAGACATATAGATAAATGTGATATTAACATGAACACTACAACAGATGGAGTCATTCTACCTGTTTGTGTGCCTAAATTGGAACCAACTGTTGTGCTATCTAATTACACTCATAATGATATCTATGCAAAGTTTCTCAACAATTCAAAGTTCACTGGAGTTGGACTTAATTTTGAGGATGATTGGATGGTTCTTGTTCTTACTACTACTACACCTACTGGAACTTCGACGAGGCTTGAGTCTCCCACAACCTATTGATAGCTGTCAGGGTTTCTGCGGAAAGAGAAGGATCGAAGATACTGTCCTAGAAGAGATCAACACGGGATTTCACCTTAAAGATTATGTCGTCTTCTTTCAACCACTCGTAGGCATCTGACTCGTATTCCAACATACTAACCTCCTGCACTAGAGTTCATAATGTATTTTCAATCACTAGAAAGAAACATCGAGGATGAACAAATATTTAAGAATGGAATGTAGAAATCAACCTTAAAACCGCAAAATCCAAATATTTTTGAAGTATTTAGTTATAAAAGCAATTTAGTTGAGAATGCATACCAAAGGAAATTCAAAATAAGTATTGCAATACACATAGATCAAAATAATTCAATATCTAAGAAAGGTGAAACTCAACACATAAAATTTGTCAAAAGGAAACACAACAAAGATGTAATCATGATCTATTGCTTAAGTTCGGTTTTCTTTTTCTGCCACAGTCGGTCAATTCCACCGTCAGCATCTCCCTGAAATTAAAGGACATTATTAATAAAACATCAAATCATTGTATTTTTGAGAAATCAGAATAGATACAATATACAGAAAGCATGTAAAGATTAAGCCCAGAGCAGACAAAGTTTCAGTACATAGTGTTACCTATCATCACTATGAAAGCAACCAACAAATAAAATTTAATCAAAATCAGGTTATATATGAATATGATAAACAGAATCAACCATTTAAACTAAGCATTATTCAAATTCTACAGACATAACACAGTGACAATAAAGAGCCAAGTGACCATTGTAGACACCACTCTCATCCAAATGACCTACGTTAATCTGAACAGAAGCATGATCCTTAGCAGTAATCAATCTGTTTGTAGCGGAACTGTAACAAATCAACAAAAACACTTCAAAATCCATAACCATAACAACAAATAACCAACAAAACCCTAAATTGCAGATTGTTAAAGTGCATACCACTTCCTAGGAATGTAGAGCTCCGTGATTTGCCCTTCATCGTTCTGCATCTTGAGTTTGAGTTTGAGCTCCGTGATGAATTCTGAACCTGCAAAACAAATAGCTAAACTAGAAACAAAATTATCGGACTTCACAAAGTCCCTCCACCAAATAGAATCCCTACTGAACGACACCCGTTTGTGTCCGATGAACACCTTTCAAATTCCTAGAAACCAATCATAACTCATTTGGTTAAATACAATGTTTTTCTTAAAATATTTCAGATGTTGTGTTAGATGTGTGCATGAATTTAGCAGCATGGCCGGGAAGGCATCTATTAGAGGATGGTGAGAAAAGAAGGTACTTTGGATTGAAGACAGAATCAAGAGGTTTAGTTGAGTTTGAATGTAGAAATCAAAGAGAATATGAATTGTGGACTCAAGGTGTTTCAAGGCTTCTTTCAATTGTTCACAAACTAAGGCACAACCAAACCAAAAGCAACAATATTTCTTTCAGAAATTCATTCTCTTGCAAACACTATCACTATCAATGGCAATGTAGGAGTGAGAATCCAAAGTCTTTTTCCAAATCCAATTACGGATGATTTCTTTGACTTGTGTTTGCACATTTCGACTATTTTTGGTCTCAATATTGTTCAAGTTTCTCGAGTGTTCACAAATTAATAGGTAAGAGATAGTATTGTAATGAATGTTGAACACATAAGCTTTTGAGGTATTTTATCAAACACCAAGAATACATTCTTAAACCTTAAAAACGAAAAGAGATAATTTCTTACTGTAAAACAATCATGGCAACTTCAGGGGTGGACATACAAATGTCAACATCAAAGGAGCAGTTACAATGAAGAGAAGTGCATCCATCATTGTTGAGTTTGAGGTGTGCAGAAAACTTTAACAAACCTGTCATTCCTTGGTGGCGGTGGCTCCGGTGGCAGCCGCAAAAAGAGAAAGGAAGCCTTGACGATTGTTCATGGTGGAGAGTGGAGATGTCCGATGAAATGCTTGGTTGTGGTGAGGACAATGATAATGAAGATGAATGGAGAGAAAAGTACTCTCAAAAGAGGGAGAGGTGGCCACCATAAAGGTGGAAGAGGGTCACCATGGAGGTGGAAGGTAGCCACTAAACCCTAAAGGGTTGGGGGAAAGTTTTCTAGAGAGAAGGAGGCTGCTGGTGTTGGTGATTGTGTCGTTGATGCGAGGCGGAGGGTAATGGTTAGAGGACGACGAAGGGATGAAGGATGGAGACGGTTGACAATTGATGGTGGTGGTTGGTAACGATGAAGATGAAGCGGTTGAGAGGAGGGTTTGAGAGATGGCGGAACAAAGGGAGTAATGGAGTGAGACAGGGAGAGTTTGGGAGGAGACGAATGGAGAAGAAGATGAACAGCGATATGGGTTTAATTTTGTGTTTCTGGAAATCTGATTTAGGGGTTAGGGGTTTAGAAATAAATTAACAAACCAAAGGCAGCGCTTTCAAGAAGCGCTGCTAAAGGTAGCCCCTTTAGCAGCGCTTTTAGATTTACACAAAGGCAGCGCTTTCAAGAAGCGCTGCTAAAGGTACCCCCCCTTTAGCAGCGCTTTAGGTTTACCCCCCCTTTAGCAGCGCTTTTAGACTTACACCTTTAGCAGCACTTTTTGAAAGCGCTGTCTAAAGCATACCCTTTAGCAGCGCTTTTATTAATTTTTTAATTTTTATTTTTTTTAAAACCCTATAGCAGCGCTTAGGGAGAAAAAGCCCTGCCTTTGATAAGGCCTATAGCAGTGCTTTTAATAAGCGTTGTCTAAAGTATTTTTTTTTTTGGATACCTACAGCAGCGCTTTTGCATAAGCGCTGTCTATGTAGCGGTGCCAAAACTCGTTTTTGGCGTAGTGAAATTTACCATAATCAAGTTTTTATTAATTATTTATTAATAACATTATTATTTTATTAAGAGAAGTATATTATTTATTTTATTGTCTGAAACGTTGACTAAAGTCAACCAAACCAAAGCTAGGGTTTTCAACCCAAGCTCCCAGCAGCGTCCTGTTCTTGTTAAACCCTTCCTCCCTAAGTAACCCAAGTCCACAAACACCTACTGTTCAAATCCAAACAGAATTAATGCACACATAAATAAAATAAAATTAAATCATTTTTAATCAAATCTTTACATAACAATTTGTACAAAATTGTCTAAAAACATTATTGAATAAATTACAATCAAATTAAATCTTCTAATCCCTACCAAAGTCAATCTACCCTAAGTCAATTACAAAAGTAACAATAATCATAAAATATTTTCCTAATCTATATCTAATCTAAGCCTGTAAATATAACCAAAAAAATTTCTAAAAGGGAGGAAGAAATTTTGATGAACACAGTTGACAGAAAGGAGAAGAAAAGAAGTTTAGGGCTTCAATATTTGAAACCCTAAAGTTCTTCGCCGCTACACCGCCACCACTCTGGTACTTGCAAAAAAAAGAAGAAGAAGTAAGAGATTAGAAGGAGGATTCAGGAAATCAAATATATGACCAGTATCATGGCAGGAGAGGTAAACAAAAATCACTTAGCTTTAGGGCTCTTAATCATTGTTGTGATGCTTGCATGATTGATGTTACAATGTTGCGTTTCTGGAAATTTTGGGTTTTTTAGGGTTAGGGTTCTAACCTAAAGTTAGGGTTCTTAGATTCTAGGGTTAGGTTTCTTAGGGTTGTTTGAAGATTAGGGTTAGGGTTCTTCATCGTTGGGTGTTCTGGGTTTTTGGGACAATTAGGGTTCATCATGAACCCTTAGGGTTCTTAGGGTTCTACAAACCCAGATGAAGATTCACGGCGGAGTGTTTGAGTGTTTGAAGTTTTAGGTTGAGTATCAATCGAAAAACTGGGGAATAGGGATGGTTGATGGTGGCGGAAGGTGGACGGCGCGGCCAGGGAGATTTCTGGCTGCCTCAATTCTAGAGAGAGGTCAAAGTCTCTCTCTAGGTTTTTGTTAGTGAAGAGATGGAATTGTAGAGAGAGAGACGGGAAGATAAAAAATGAGAAAAATGACAAAGGATGGAATATATAACCTCTCCTTGATTCTGTGTTCATGCGTCTAGAAACCTTACCATGTGCTTCCCATCACAACCTTCATATCATCATCAAACGCTCCTGATTTTCACGCCCATTATAACACTGTGATCCCTCTCACACGTTACCTAAATGGATCCCAAGTTATTTGGTCCTAAGCCCATGATATTCACACCCCCAGTTTGGTTGTGTTTGCTAAGCCTGCTTAATTCTCACCCTCTAACGCTAATGGCCCAAGTCCAACATCTGGACTTGGACCCCTGCTGACTAAACCCCCATATTTTTAGTAACATGTGCAATGACTCACCCCCTCTACGTTTGGGCCTGAATTCAACATCTCAATTCAGGGCCCTACTACCTATACCCCCTATTTTACTATCTCAATACAAAATAAAACCCCCTTGTGCTTTTTTAAATTTCTTTTATTATTTATAATTATTATTTTTATAATTTAATATATTTATAAAATTCTAATATTGTTTTACTATTACTATTAAAAATCAAATATTTATTTTCTAACTCATCCAAGTATTTATTTATTGCATTAAAATTATTTTTAACCATGCATTAATAAGATGTTTTATATATTAATACATTTAAAAAAATACTTAACCAACACAAAATCTTTTTTTAATAACTTAATTAATTTAAAACAATTTTCAAAAAAGATTACAAAAATATTTTAATCGACTGCGAACTTCATTTAACAAATCCTCTATTCACACATCTAGACTTAGTACAAGAGAAATTCAAAACATCTTCGTAATCCATAAAAAAATACCAACCAACTACGAACTATGAATTGAGACTCTGATTCCTCATAAGAGGATACGTAGGCATACGACATAAAAATCATGGCGAGCTCCCCTAATAAAAATTAAAATCCTATTTCCTGAATTGTAAATCTAAACCCTAGTATCCTTGTGAACAAGGTAGATGAGGGGTGTCTAACACCTTTCCTTCGTCTAAAACGAGTTAACGACTTAGAATCTCTGACCAAATTAGAGTTATCTGTTATGTTCTCTTCCCTAGAATAAAAATTAATGGTGGAGACTCTACATTTTTTTCCAATTATTACAATATCATAGAACCAGCATCCATCAATGATGCTCTTTTAGACTCAGAGTGGATTCTAGCCATGCAAGAAGAATCAAATTAATTCCCCATAAATGATGTATGGGATTTGGTACCAATACCTAAAGGAAATCATGTTATTGGAACCAAATGGGCATTCAGAAACAAGCTGAATGAGCAAGGAGAAATGGTAAGAAACAAAGCCAGACTGGTTGCACAAGGCTATAGTCAACAAGAAAGAATTGACTATACTAAATCCTTTTATCCATAAGTCAATTAAGTAAAGATGGTTATGATATTATCTTTAATCAAGAGTCATGCATAGTTGTTACTCAAAAGGATGGTTTTGTTCTTTTCCGAGGAAAGAGGGAAAACAACATTTATAAAATTAAACTTTCAGGTATAGAAAATCAAAATGTTAAATGTATCATGTATGTGAACAAAGAGAAATGGACCTGGCATAGAAGGTTAGGCCATGTTAGCATGAGAAGAATCTCAAAGTTAAACAAGTCGAGCCTTGTTAGAGGCCTTCCAAATTTAAAGTTTTCTTTAGATGCTCTTTGTGAAGCATGACAGAAAGACAAGTTTTTTAAACATCTTTAAGAGCTAAAAACGTTGTTTCTACCTCTATGCCTCTGGATCTCTTACACATTAACTTGTTTGGGCCTTTTGAAAACAACATCTATTAATGGCAAAAAGTATGGACTAGTTATTGTTGATGACTACAGCTGATGGACATGGATTAAATTTTTAAGACACAAGGATGAGTCATATTTTGTGTTTGCTACTTTCTGCTCCCAAGTGCAAAATGAAAAAGATTTTAAAATTATCAGAGATAGAATTGATCATGGTGGAAAATTTGAAAATAAAGATTTTGAAAAACATTTTGATGAAAATGGTATTTCTCATTATTTTTCTTGTCATATAACTCCTGAATAGAATGAAGTTGTAGAAAGGAAAAATCGTACTTTATAAAAAATGGCAAGAACCATGACCAATGAGACAAATGTTGCGAAATACTTATGGGCAGAAGCGGTCAACACAATATGTTACATTCAGAACATAATCTCTATAAGACCTATTCTGAATAATACTCCCTATGAATTATGGAAGAGTAGAAATCCCAACATTTCTTATTTTCATCTCTTTGGTTGTGTTTGTTTTATGCTTAATATCAAAGAAACTTTTAACAAGTTTGATTCTAAAGCATAAAAGTATATCTTGTTAGGATATTCTAAACGCTCAAAAGGCTACAAAATATACAACACCGAGACATGAGTTATTGAAGAGTAAATTCATGTCAAGTTTAATGATAAGCTTGACCCTAAAAAGTCAAAACTAATTAAAAAAATTTGTAGATATAAAAATCGCATACTCAATCTCAAATAAAGATTATAATCGATAACATGGAAATATGAATCACCCACATAAATAGAGATATTACTTCCATTAAGAAAACATCCACAAATAGATTATATCATACATATTATATCATGGTAACATAATTATAACAACTATACCACACAATTCATAAGATTATATTACATTCTTTAGAATTATGATAAAATACTTCAATGAATATACCTGCAAGCAATTGTATTTGTTAGTAATCAATATCATATTATTTTATATATCAATATACTAATTTTGGTGACAAATAGAGATTGAGATTTATGAAAGCATCAAAGAGAAATGTCTTTTTGTAGTAATAAAAAGTGTGACTACATAAGCCCTAATATATTTTGTTTATCAATGTGAATCAAAGAAATGTGAATTAAAATATAAAAG